TTCCCAGAGTGACCGAATTATGCTCAGAATAAGACAAAACCAAGGAGGGCAGGAAAGGTGTGCTGAAACAGTCTTGCTCTGGGCCTGCCAGGTTTGCCTCTGAGTACCTTTAACACACATATAGGAACTCTTCTGTCAATCATAAAAGAGCTAGCATGATATTATTCTTGTGCTACAAATAGAGAACTGAAGGGACAGCATACAAATGATAAAACCAGACAATAAAGATCCCAAGTGTAAGGAACTGTGCATTTACCAAGAATAAGCTTTAGCCCATATTTACACAACTTCCTTCTTCCAGTTATGCCAAGTTATTCACAAGAGCTGGCTGTGATAAAACACTCTAAGCACTTTCTTCCCTGGCTGAAAGCAGAGATACGCTACCAGCCTCAAAATACAAAACGCCTCATCTTAAAATTGATTACTAGCTCTCTTATTGGTTTTGGTGGAACTGACGGTGGAGGAGATGCCTTTGCTGAGAGAGTTCTTGAAATTCTCAGACATTCCCAATATTCTGTACACATTCAGGGCTGGGGGAACTGAAGCTTTTTACAGGGGAGAGATGTCACCACCTATACCAACAGAAAAGGAGCAGAAGCACAAATTTAATGAAGATATTTCCCTGATATTTGCAGAAATTTCCTGGTATTCTCCCATACACTGCATCGATACATAACACATGTACAGTACACATTAAGCCAAATGTGTTATCTTTAGTAAAGAGTTACTGTAGATATGATTCTATTCCACTAGAAAGCTGAGATAATCATGAGTTTTTAAAATGCAGATTTGGTCCAAAATTGATTCCTTCTCAGAAAACTAGTTTCTGAAGGAAAAAAAAAAACAAAATGTTGACTTTTGCAGAATGATTATTCTATGTGAAACTAATTGAGCCATTTTTCAAATACTTCAAAATCAAAACATAATATTTGGGACTAGAAATCATTGAAATATTTGCCAAACATTTTAAATACAAAGACTTGAAACTTCAAAACAAAGAATTTAAATGTTGATAGTTTTGGTTGGGTTTTTTTGTTGTTGTTTTTGTTTTTTTTTTTTACAGCCAGCCATAGAAGAATTTTCCTGTATCTTTATAGAATAATGTGTATAATACAGCAGCCTTAATGGTAAAAATTCTGGCATGCAAAAAAGAATTACGTTCAATTATTAAAATTTACTGTAGCCTGTAACAACACAGATGAACTGAAGGTGGGCGCACTTGGGCTTTCATGGCCACGGCCTGCCCCGCTCCTTGAATTTAAGATCCATAAATTGTTTAAAACATTATCGATAGAATCAATAGCCAAAATATTGCTTCTCAACATCTGGTTCATATTCTTCTCCCAGTTATGCTGCTACAACTCTAAATTAAACTGAAGACCTTACATGAAGCCGCTCCAAATTTACGACGGTATAAGAAAGAAGCGAACTTGGTTCTTTGTCTTTAGACGTCCGTATTTGCAGCCAGGCAAAATCCCATGCAGTTACGTACTCTGTGGCACAAGAGTGCCATCCAGCGGTAATTCCTAAACCTGTATTCGCCGAGGATAGTCTGTAGAGGTGACTAGTAGCAGGTACTGATTATACCTATGAACCTGACAGCTCCAAACCTAAACTCCTGAGTGGCTATTGCGAGGCTGAGAGGAAAACTTCTGTTAAAGAGTAATAATTTCTCCTTTTTTTTTTTTTTAATCAGTTTTTCATATTGAGATAGTTTACACAACAAATACAGATTATTGTTTACTTGAGCATAGGAACATGTTGAAGTGGGAGGCTCCTGGGCTAGCTAGACTGAGAACCAGTATGCACCACCATCGTAATATACGCTGCATATCAGCTAACAAACTGTGCCACTTTTCAGCCCCCCTTGATGGCAAGCCATTACTCAGTTCTGATAAGAACATGTCAATGCCGATTTGAGCATCCTTGTACAGAGCTTCACCACCTGCTCTAGATGTGTCCTGTGTAGGGGACAGAGCTGAGAGTGCAAGTCACCAAACTTTGAGGCTGGTTTCAGCTGAATATTTGTGCACCCAGACATCAATGTGACTACTGATATCTCTGATCTGCCAAGAACAGGCCCTAAATTCAGGCCCTCCACTTCCTGCATAAGTGCTTTATCTGCACTAGTATATTATAAAAATGTCTTTTTAGAGGGAACACATGCAGTTGCAAAGACTCAGTCCCACTAACATCCATTAGAAGGGTTTGAAGATTACTTCTTGAACCGAGCCACTCTGGGGGCTTGAATGGAGTAACATAGTTTTTAGTTTCCAACTGAGGAACTGGGAGACAAACAAGTGCCCAGCTGCTTAGTTGCGTTGCACTGGTGCAGATATGGGCACTGACAGAGAGGCTCTATATGGCAGAGTAGCTTATTTAAAAAAATACATCAGGTGGCTCAGGAATTTAGGCATGATGCAAGGTCAGACACAGCTCACTGGGATTTTTCGCTCTCTTTTAGATTTAGGAGCTCAAATTTTGCCCTAATTTCTTAGGTTTTGGACTTGGTCTGTAGTCAATAAAAATAAATTCTGGTTAAAACTCCATGTATTTATTGCAGATTTTACTGATCTACTTTATTCTGTCTCACCCTCTCCCCCATCTGTAATGTATTCCTTTGTAGTTAACAGTATCTCTTGCAATGCAGATGTCTATAAATGATTATGCCTGATTCACCTATTTGCCTGGCCTGATTGCCCACAGATTAAATCATTTTGTACAATGTTTCTGTTAGTGTTCTATATTCATCTTACTTCTAAATAGTAATTAAATTATCTCGGGTTATGGGTCATGATTGCAGATAATACTTGCAAGGCAGAAAGCTCATCCCAATGAGCAGCACTTTCTGCAATGGTTTCTTGAGAAGATGCAGAAACAGGAGAAAGGATACTTTTATTTCTAGGTAAAACTCCATTTTGGTGCATCACTTGCACTACCATGTGAGGTGGGATGAGATACTGAAGATCCAGCTTGGTCCTGTGAACAATACAACGGAGTTTCTCCCTCTTAACCTCTGTAACATACCAGCGGGATGCATACAAAGAAACTGATAATTTTGCATTATTTTTATGGTCGTCTACTTCTACTTCACATGTCATTCTGTTCAAGAGTGAACAGGTTTGCACTAAAATGGTTCAAATAAATGATTTCACCTAGAATTGGCCTAGCCTAAGTAGTCATAGCCAAAACTATCTGAAATATTAAGGAGTGTTGAAAAGAAATGAAAAACATTTTCCACTGAAGAATAAATACTTGAATGCTGAAAATGACACTAATTTTTCAGGACTAAAATTAATATGGCTTGACCTATTAATTTAGTGCAGTACAATTGCTTTGAGACTATGAAAATAAGAGACCAGTAAATTAGCTACTTGTATACTTTGTAGCAATCCTTGTATTATACATATGCAGTGAAATGAAACAAAGGGTCATTTATATTTTTTAGCTCCATAGCAAGTAAGAAAAAAAAAAGTGTCCTCTGATATTTTCAGAGGAATCGGATTCCTTTTCTGCTAATGAAACCCATGCTGCAATCCACAATTCATTCAAAATGTAAGAAAAAAACCAAAACCTTCAAAGTCCCCCCTTCAAAATAAACAGAACCCAAAAGCTTATTACCAGAAACATAGATGTTGTTCAGTGTCTTCAGGATAGACACTGCGCCCTTGCATTTATCCCATAAAATGGGACAAATCTTTTGCTAGTCCCTTCTCGGATGAACTGCCTTCTACTACATATAATTTTATTGCTGGCTTCTGTGCACAGGTAGAGCAACCTTATGTTATCGGAATGCGAGTGATCTGCCATTGCAAAAGGCTGCAGTGGACAGTTGCAGTGACAGGATTAACACTGATGACTTGCCCAAGCGAAGCTTTGGAGCAAAGGTGGAATACAGGGAAAATAATAATATACATTTTCTGAAACCTTTTTTGTGGCTTGCTATTTAGGAAATAAAAAATATTGATTGGGAGGTGTCTAAATTTAGTGAAACCTTGATAGTTTTCATACTTGATCAGATTAGAAACGAAAGGACAACTGGCATAATCACATCTATCCAGGGTGCAGACCTCAAAGGGTGAGCCAAACCAAAGTGCTCCCTGCAGATACATAAGGAGCTGCCACCTCCTGTTTCTGGTGTGGACAATATAATGTCGGAAATAATTAGCTAATCTTTTGTTTAAATAAAGCATTTGGAGAAAAAGCTAAAAATAAACACTGATTCATTCCTTGTCAGGGAAGTTTCTCCTGTCAATTATCACATTGTTACTGCTGTTTTTAATCTAGTCAGATGGTGAGATTGGCAATCCCTTCTGCAGGGGCTTCTGGGTGTTATTTTGTAGAGAATCTTGCTTGAAGGACTGATTTCTGCTTTTATGGGAGCCAGTGGGAGTTTGGCCACAGTCCTTCACGCATGTTAATTTGAGGGACTTCCAAATGTTAGCTAATGATCTCAGAGTTCTTTTTATGAAAACTGTGTGGGTTTGTTTTGGGGTTTGAGTTTGTTGGGGTTTTGTTGCCTTATTTGCTGGTTTGGGTTTTTTTTTAATCCTTAGCAGGAGGCAATTAAGAAGGTCTGTGGAAAGTTCTGCACCATAGGTCTTGACCGGCCAGTAACATCTAAAATCCTAGCATGAAAAAATCAGCAGCACATATTGCTACCGTACTCAGATATATTACACATCATATAATATTATTTAAGGTTACTAGTTATATTATTTATAGTATTCCTATAGTCCAGGCCACACGCTTTGCATTGCTATGGACTGTGTGTATCTATTGGTCTCCACTTACGGTAACTTGAAAAAGCAATTATGGTCTTTCTTTTTTTAGGAGCAATACTAAGGAAAAAGCAGTAGCCTCCACTCCAAAGCAGGAAAACATGTCAACATGGAAAACAGAGGCACTGTGGGTGGGGGAGTTTCATTCCCGAGTGTTTAATAAAGCCTTATGTAGCTGTGAAGGAGAAGCAGAGAAAAAATAAAGGCAAACCCCGTGGAAGCTGAAGCAGACAAGCAGAAAGCCAAGGACGCAAGTCCAAGCAAGCACTGGGACTGTGGCTCAGAGAAAGCATACAGGGAGGGATCTTTGGGCTAAATGCTGACTTAAAAGAGCTTGGAACCGAGCGCAGAAACAAACAACTGCTCTCCGTACAAACAGAAACTTGTTTCTGGCTGCGTTCAGGCCAGAAACAAGATTTCACACATTCCTCGCGAGTAACAGGGCTATACCGCGGCACTCCACGGCTCCGGAGCGCCGCGCCCAGCCGCGCACACAGCTCGCAGGAGCCGCGCAGCCTCCCCGCCAGCCCCACCCTCTGCCCCGCAAGCGGACCCCGCCGGAGGGCGGACCCGCTCCCGCGATCTGCCCCCGGCACCCACCGGCTCCTCCCGGAGCCCATCCCCGCCCCGGGGACGAGCAGGACGGGCCGCGCACTGACCGCTCATCCGCGCGCCTCCGCGGCGCAGCCTCGGGTGGAAGCCGAGCCTCTCGCTAGCCCTGGGCTCGCCGCTGGCCTTGGGAGGTGAGGGGGAGCCGGGGATGAGGGAGAAGAAGGCCGCTACCCCTGCAAGTGGGGGGTGGGTCCCAGGTGCCGCTGCCGAAGCGGAACAGACCTGCCGCCCCCCGCCCCCAGCGCCCCTAGCCTCAGGCCGTGCCTGACCGGGCCCTGCTCGCGGCCGAGGGCTGGCAGCCTTCTTTCCGCCGCGGTGCGGGCTGGGCCGCCCAGGGGCCGCGGGCGGGGATCTCACCCTCCTCCGAAGTTGAGTGCGTGTGTGTTCGTTTCATGCCGGGGGTCGGGGTGCGCAGGGTGCGGAGACCCTCTGTGGGGGCAAGCCTGAGGGGAGGCAGCGGGAGCAGCCACGCGGGTTTTACTCCTGGCCAAATGCCGGCTCACGAGAGCATTAATTTTCCTCTTTTGTTTTCTTTTTTTTTTTTCATGTTTTTTTTACCTCCATACGCTGCCAGGACCGAGCCCCGGCTGAGACTGTGATCAGCAGCCCTCCGAGAGATGAAGGTGCCGAGGTGAGGCCTGCCCGGGGCACCTGCTACCAACACAGCCACCAGCCCAGGTGCCCGCCCAGGAGAAGCCAGAGCCTGTGGCCTGCACTGCCACCCAGAGAAGGGGAGTAAGAAGGCCGCTGGTGAGGGCACTGACCACTTCTAGTGCATGCACAGCATCACAGGGAGCACTTAGCCTTGCAGCACACACGGTTGTACTGCTGTACACCACTGCTGTTGTACAGCTGTGTGCAGTTGTACACAAAGTTGCTTTCGTCCAACGGTACGAAAGGAAACAAAGCATGTGAAAGGAAGGAAGCAGCGTCAGCACTACGCAGCCAGGAGACTGCTGGGGAAAAGGGACCTGCAACTTCCGCGGTGCTGTGCATGAGGTCTGCGGTAGGGCCAGCCAGAGCTCTTTTATCCCTGCTTCCAATTTAGGATGTTCACCACCCTCCTTTTTCTCCTCCTCTTTTCCACAACCAAAGAGCATAAAGCGCCAAAATGCCTTCTACCAAGCAAATGACAAAGAAATGCAGCCATCCAAAACCTAAGCCAATGCAACCATCCAAAACCTAAGCCAAAGTGCATCTGGCTTGGGATGAATATTGGACCACGTTAGCTGGGAGTGAGGACTTTTCAGAAAGCCAGGCTCCAGTCAGAAATACACCCTGTCATTCGGAGTCTGAATATGAAAACAGCTTGCAAAACATTTTTTTCAGGCTTGTAACAAAAGACTTGGTCCTTCTTTTGCTCTGGTATCTAGGCTACATTGTGCAGGCTCATGCATATCACTGGTTTTATTCACATGAGTAATTCCATTTGAATTTGGAGCGACAACTTGTATGTGCAAAGTTACTCATATGCTTTCTGTTTCCTTTATATTTTGAAATTATGTGGGTTTTGTTGGGTTTGTTTTTTGTTTTCCATTTGCTGGTGCAGTCTAGTTACTGTTGGCATCAAAGTTATTGTGAACCATCATGATTATTATTACTGTTTGTCAGCTTGACACCTTTGTTTTCCTTGCCAGACTAAAAGCTTCTCTATGCAACCTATTCCAGCTATGCAATTGTATCATCTGTTTTTATGCAACCATCTTTCACCTGACAGTGTAAATTCATTTTCCCCATAAAAGATCCTTTTTGTACTCATTTTTTTCTCCAGTCATTACTGACAGTCTTTCCAGTTGTGCCAGCTGAGTCTTTCTCACGCAAGTGTCTCATGACTTCTCCCATACTGTGTAATCTAAATTCATACCGATTCTAACATGATATCTGGATGTTTTAATATTTGCCAGCATTTGGAACATTTTATTATTCTCATTGCCATATGCTTTCTCTTTACTCCCTCATATTTCTTCAAGCTACAGCTTTTGCTGTTCTCATAACCTTGTATGTTTTCTCTGTTCCATTGCTCCATGTTCGCCTAAGGGCAAAATGTCTTGGGGACAAGAAAAACACATTGTCTATCTTCCATGAAATGCGGCATTAAGTTGTAAGTGTGGCTCAGTGTTTTATTAGATGTTCCTTTTCCTCAGTCAGGGGATATAAAGAACAAACAAGCAAAAGTCAATGCGTACCTTTTTTTAATGGAAGATAGCTTTTCACGGATATACTCTCAGCTGTCAAGTATATACTATAGTACTCTGATTTGTCCCTGAGCAGAGTAGGCAGACTGGGCAGCCACTGACTGCTTTGTCAACCAGTGTCTTTCTTCCTAACCTAGCAAATTTTGTGAATTAGCACAAGTAAAGTCTCCATTAGGAAATAAAGTATTTTGAAGCTGCTGCAGCAGCAGGCCATGAGATGTCAAGAAGATGCATTCAGTTACACCTAAGTACAGATTTATTACATTGAATCTCCAGGGCATCTATCTACTGTGTCTTAAAAGAATCCAACAAGTAAGTTTTTGTGAAATTGCCAAATGATGCCTTCCAGGCACACTGAATGCTGCTATTTCTGGGGGGAAGGGGTGATGACCCATGTATTGAAATTACCTGTTTCCAGTTGTGACAGTACAGATTACTTACAGGGAAAGGGTAAAGGCCAAATAAATCTCTTAGCCTGCCCTGTAACATGGTGGGAGTTTCTTTTTCCTTAGAGGACCAGGAACTGTATTTCCCAGCTTTGCCATATCTAGAACATGAAAAATTACCTGTTCATCTCAGCTAACATCCAAAGAGCCATCTTGCTGCAGTGACACCTCAAAGTCAGGGCGTCTGTCCCAGTTATATGGTAAGACCGTAACAGAAACTGAGCTCTTGACACGTCTACGGATGGAGTTGCCAGCAAGACCCTAAGCAAGATTTGAAAAGCATACTGGATTTCTGGAGTAAATATTCTATTAAGGACCAAAAATAAATAAACCAGAGACATTGATTATCATCACAAACTTTGGTCAGGCATGGCTGGTGTACTGGATATATATGTCCATAATATGCTGGACTTGTGCCACCTACAGATATGCATTTCTGGAAGTTTTTTCTTCAAAATTCATTCAAAATAGGTTGCAGCCAAATGATTAATTGGAGTGCTGGCAATCATAATTAAGGTTACTTGGGGACATCTATTACTCAAAAATAATATATAGTCTCTTCTATTTATAAAAAGCCCTGTTCTTAAAAAAAAAAAAACCAGCCTCCCCCTCAAAAAAAAACCCAAATCCCCAACAAAACCCAACAACTGGATTTTTAATTTATTAAGGAAAATAAGGCATGAAAGTATATAGGTGTATATAGATGTATTTATTTTTTGTTAGTACCATAAAACTTATTTCAGTACAGTGGCAAAGGTAATTTCCTGATTGATATACTAGAGGTGTATATAAATGTGTAACAATCCCAGAAATATTTTAAGTACTCAGTTGTTTTTTTTCCAGATACCACTCCCTTTGCAGTATTAGGGAAATTAAATATTTATTGTATTACTCCAAGCCAGGTTGTATTTGTTACCTTTAAAATGAGAAATATACCTAGCACACAGAAAATACAACTAAATATATTTATACCTCTTTATTTAACAAACTCTTATATTTATTACTTCTTAAGAACTTTTGTAATATAGATGGAGTAGTGCTACACACTAATGAATATAATGAATTTATTTTCTGAGTTAAAGCTTCTAAAAATAAAACCAAAAGAGAATATATTAATAATATCAATTTGCAAAATTAAAATTTGGAATGATATGCAAACATATAAATTTATTCTGAAAATTTTAAACTAGAGCTTTAATACTAATGTTGTCTGAATTAAAAGAATGCAGTGCTTTGCCTGCAGAGCTCAGAAACAGGCAGACAGTGTTCAGAGGAGAAATTTGTGATGCTGTCATCTGTTTTGCAGTAAAGATACCAATGCTCTTGGTGATCTAAGGACTCCACACTTCAGAAGTAGTAGTTATATATGTAGGTTTACAGTATATAGAAACTAATTACCCATGACTATTCTAGAAGAGTTACCTCCTTTGAAATACCTGTTCAAGACATTCTGAAAAAGCATTCTGAAGCAGTGAAATACAACAATGATAATGTTTAAGAATACTACCCTAAAACTTGCTAAAATTCCAATAAGGCTTATTCAACATTAAAGCTTTTCAGATTTTCTGTAAATTTTCAGTATGTTCACTCTAAGCTTTATAAAGCCAGTGGGGGTGTTTATTATTTTACTTTAAAATACCTGTCATTTTTCTGAACCCTGAAATCAGGATGGAGCTGGGGCCCCGTTTGGACTTGTCATTTTACAAATCCTCTTTCTGTCCTTCCACTTCCCCCTATAAGAAGAAATAACCATTTTCCATCTTCTTCCTTTTGACTTGACTACTTCAGTTGTGAGCTCAGTCATGTAGTACCTGCATGTTTTACAACACATAGCAAAAGCAGGGCCCTTACTTCAACTCAGAATTCTAATAATACAGAAATATTACAGGTAGCCTATATTCCTAGAGCCAGTCTGGACTTTGAAGCTGAAATTCTGAAGCTGAGCATCTCTGAAAATTAGTTCTTGTATTTTGAAAACAAAAAAAAAAAACAACAACCCAAACCAAACCAAAAAACCCCAGTCCAGAAGCAGTTCATAACAATTTGATTTTAGGAAATAATAAAATAGAAAACTTGAGGATACTAAAGTTTATCACATGTAGTAAAGCCTTGCAAGTAAATGTGGTATACTGAAGAAAAGCCTTGCCCTCTAAACTATCCTAAAATAAGCGGGTTCATTTTAAAAACTTTGTAACTGCTTCACAAGTCTTCAGTCAGTTTCCTCCTTATTCATGCAGGCAGTCCCATTGGAACAACCATTACAATAAAATTACCACTAAAGGAAAGGTTTCTAAGATAAGTAGAACTGGGAAGATCTGTTATTGTTTTTGAAGAGCAATAAGAAATAATAAGAAAATACAGTGTTCTGCATGCGGAGGTTCAAGGGTTGAGTTCAGAAAACTGGGTAATTAACAAGAAAATAAACATACACACACTGCCCTCCCAACCCCCCCCCAAAAATAGTTCCTACTTTCTTTCCCCCGTATGAGTGGTTTCATATCTCATTATATTTCAAAAGGCCAGATCCTTTTAAATCTGAAACAGTTCTGAGTATATTGAAAACAGATGGAAATGAATCAGGGGCCTGAGGTAGAAAAAAGCTGTAATGAAGATCATATTTAAGTAATATTTTAAATAAATAAATCATTTGCCTCTGAAACCACATCTAATAAAAATATAAATAATTATATAATGACCATATAAACTACATTTCCTGAAGTAATTCCTGTCTTTCTACATTTCCTGAGTTATTTGTATTATGAAACAGTAGTGTGGTGCCATTAATTGATAAGCACTCTATGCTATAGTTACCATGCTAATTGCAGCTCTTTAGGTCCTTGTCTCGCAGCTCCTCCAGCCGCTCAACAATTGGGATTGATTGCACAGGAGCTATTTTTAGAATGAAATAGCAGAAGAGTTTGGAGAACAGCAGCCATTTTTTGTGTGTATGCTACATCTGTTTGGGGGGGGGGGGGGGGGGGAAGGAAAAGTTGAATAAAAATGCCCTGAGTTATCCTTTTGGGTATTTTTGTGGAAATCCTGCTGAAGTTGGAGCTTCCTATTGGATAACTGATCTTGCTTGTACCAAGTTGAAGCTGAGGTCAGGGTTGCATGACACAGAGGATACTGTTCAGTGACACTGATCTCAGGAGAACAGCAGTTTTTTCTCTGGGAATAGGACTGTTAAGGCGAACAGCAGATGAACTTTGGTGAGGCTGGTTCTATAAAAAGGCAATGCAGGAGTCAAGTTTGTACTTTAAAATACCAGTGATGAAAGGCAAGACTCAAGATTAACTTTGAATGTGCTTTTTCCCCAATTCTGAAATAAAACAGTTTGTGAACTGCGCCGTTTGAGTGATTTTAGGTCTGTTTCCAAGAATGCTTTATGCTGAAAGAGTAGTATATAGCCATGTTTCACAGGGGTCAGTTGATGCTCAGAAGGTGTGACTGGGAGGAGGCACCCATTCAGTTAATCCCAGATTGGCTTTTTATTATCCCACCCTGCTCGCCTGCTTTACACAGAGTTCAGCTAGGGTAGATAAACAAGGGGACAGGATTTTGTGGCTAGTCTACTATATAAAATCAGGGCTGTCATCTTCTCTGAATGTTTGTATAATAGAAGGCAAGGTTTGCAGGAAGAATAACAAACATAAGTATGTAGGAAGAGGAATAACCAGTTCTATAGCTGAGGAAAAAAAAAACCAAACCAGTACTCAAGGGGACAAGCCTATTTTACCTTTCTAAAGATTAATAGCAAAGACCTATCATGTCTTGCACATTATATCAGGGGTAGTAATACCTTGGCACTCTCACACAGCACTGTATCAGCAAGTTTGAAATGTTTTACTAAGGAGGAGTCTTTGTCCAAGTTTAGCTGTAGAAGTAAATAAATTAATTGGCTATGGTTACACAGAAGCTTGGCAGAGTTAGGGGGAGAATCTGTGTTTCATGACGTCAGCTGCTTTTCCCTTTTCAGTGGCATGCTGTAAAGTATTACAGACGCCTATAATGCGTCACTACTCCATAACTGCCAATTCCCCTGGAAAAGAGAAATGCACACCTTTGTAAATGCTGCCAATCTTGTATTCTTTCAGAGACAACATACAAAGAATATACTTTGGGTTTCTACAATAATAGCTTATAATACTAGTTTGCATAAAAAAAGCTTTGAATTTGAATAGCTAGTCTTGCCAAAATATGCTGCAAGAAAATCTCTAGCATGTTTTTGTCACTGAATATATTCGTCTTGCAAATGATAAATTTTAGACATAAATTGGATGATAAATTAAATTAGATACATGCATTTCATATTAGTATGAAACAAAATATATATTAAAAATTACTATCTTCTGTAGCTTGTTTTGTTTATCCTGAAATTATGTGCAACTTCCCCTGGACTTCTCTATAAGTACCTGAAGAGAGGGATGGAGTAAGGATTCATCTTGTAAATATTTTGTTTGGGTATAAATAGCGAGAAGTACAAATTTCAAAATAGTCAAATAGTCAAAATATAGAGTTACACTTTCTCCAAATAGAATATTAAATATCTGACGTAGCATATTGTCCCATTGTGTCTAGTTTGATTTCAGGAATCAAAGTAACAATTAAGCTGTTCATATTTTATAAAGGCTGTGTCCTAACTTTCTGTATGTTTAACAGTGAGAGAGGTCAGTAGTATTAGGGAGATACGAAGGGCTACAGTTCACTTGGTATTTTTAGGACAGTAGCAGTGGTGATATCCCAGAAAATGCAAGGACCTGGGATAATACACATGCTACAGAAACATTTCATACCATGCATGGTACTGTCCCAAGGTCAGCTAAGCTTTCTTTCACCAGCTCAGCACAAGCTTGATGGAGCCAATTTGATTTTAAGGAGGAGTAGGTACCAGTCTTCATGTTCTAGAATTACAGGAGGCTACTGCTGTTCTGGCCTTGAGCTAGCGCTGAGGCAGCACACAGTGAGTGCTTGAAGACATCTACATCTAAGCTGACTTTGCAGATAGAGCTCAGACTATCAGCATCTTCAATAGCCTACCTGCTTAAATGATAATTTAGAGGTGTAAAGGGCTTCTTTTTTTCCCAGATTTTACATTGGCACTTTGCTGACAGGTACTTCCTACAGCAGGGGTTGTGTAGGAATGGCCATTATGTGCAGCGCAGCAAGCTGTGAACTGGAATGACTGAGTTTTAAGTAAGATCTATATACGTACACACTCAAACTGGACAAGTGAGTCATGGAAAACACTGTAACTGTGGAAGAACAAACATTACTTTGCAGTACTTAAGAGTTAACAGTGTGTCCGTACTGACAGATTGTTACCCAACAAGTTCCACCCTAGGTCCTCAATAGGTCTGGAATATGGCTTTCACAGAAAGAGTCTTGGAACTGGGAGACTTTGTCACCTTATTTGGTGACATGTATCACCCTAGATACGTTATCAACACAAATCTCAGTATTTAGCCTAATGCCAACAATATTGTGTGTGTACGCTTCATAAAATGATCTACTTCAAAACAGTGATCATGATATATATTAAAGATGATTAATAGAGGAATATTGTTCCCGGTACTTCTGTCTTCACAGAACACAGTGACATCTTGTGGCAAATGAGGGGATAGTGTTACTTTTTTCGAGATGCATCCTATTTCAGGTGGTTTAAAGATGAATCCCTAAATAAATTCCAGACAAATTATTTCCTTTACCTGTAATATTAACTCTTTCCGAATTTTGTTTTAAGTACAGGTTTGTTTTAGGTTCTATTTTAGCAGCGAAAAAAAGAGTGAGCCTTGGTTCCAGCATATTGCAAATGTAGGGTATGGGAGTTTAGCACTTGAGCTCACCGATGTTCTTTGGAAAACGTTCAACTCCAGGAATGCTCCTGTCCTATCCTTGCTGATACAAGACTCTGCGAGTCAGCATTTCAAACGCTTTACTTAAGTTAGCCTATTATTATAGATTGCCAAAACTGTCAGGGTGCTTTTGATGGGAATGAAGAGAAAACACAGTAACTTTTTATCACAAGGCAGATAGAAAAAAAAAAAAAAAAGGAAAAATATCTTCTTTCCTCTCTTTTTTTTTTTAACCTAAAACTATTTTTTCTTTTTTTTTTTTTTTTTGTCTTTTTATAGACCAAGCAGGGTTTAAGTCCTGTCCCTGCTGTTTTGGGATCCTCCCCTGACATGGCTGTCCTTTGCAAGTTGGTATTTGGATAAAATTCTAGTTGTCAGCATGAAAGGAAAAACTGCACAGTGTGACTGGAAATCTGCATCCCCAAAGAAGGCCTCTCCCTGTGACCGATATAAACATGCTTGCATTATTTGTAGAGGATTTCTTTATCTCTATGGAGGACGGAACACCACCAGTCTTAGAGATTTTTGGCGATACAACATCGGTAAGTTTGCTCCTTTCACTTGTATATCAGGATTAAAGAGATTCTACATCCAGTCATCATAAAATCTGGGACACTGTACTTAAGAGATGAACACTTTATCCCCATATAGTCTCTCAATCAAAATGATGGCTAAACTGCATTTTGTTCATTGAGCAAATGGTATGTGTTCATTACTCTTGCAGGTATCTCAGAAATTTCACCTCCTTTTTTTTCCCTTGACCAGAAATATTGGGTCATTTAAAATACCCTAGTTCTAACAAGGCCTATCTTCACTCTATAACATGGGAATAGTTTATGCATGTGTAATAATGCACTATCAAATATGACCCTTTGTATTTTTTGGTGTTCCCTGTTCAATTGTTGCTGCTAGAGAACCACATATAATTGTGCTGGGGTTCATGCTCACACAATAGTTGAGTTTTGGTGCAGGTAACAGTATAAGAGCATATAAAAAACATATAAAATATATAAAATATATAAAAATATATAAAAGCAGTAACAAGGTCAATTTCTATTACATTTTAAGTTTGCTAAATAGAAGGGGAAGTGTCTCAATGTTCTGAACTAATGGAGAGGAAAGATGACAAAATGCTTCATTTTTCCCCACTGACTGATAGTGCAGCCGAATTCAAAGCCAATCTTTTCACCTTTTCCCTAACATTTTTGAACTGCTGTCTTTACTTCAACTTTGGTTTATAGTGAAAAATGAATGGGAAATGCTGGATTGCTCAAGAGATGGTCCAGAAGAACTGGAGGACCATTCAATGGTGGCTTATAAGGTAGTAGACCAAGATTTATATTGTTCATATCCTGATATTTTATTTCCTATTATGCAATTAAATAAAATGCCATAGATTATTATGTACAGAAAATACTTTTATGTCAGTGCAATTCTGGATGTAGCTGTACCAGTGTTTTGCATACTTTCTGAATAAAGTTACAGCAGTTTAGCTTTGCAGCAGTGTGATTTCCTCAGTCATTGCTCAATACATAATAGTAATACAAAATAAAGACCTTGGCAGCACATTCTTTGACTTAGTAGTATAGTTGTAACAGTTGCTTTGAATTCATTTGCATGATAAGCTACAGCATAAAAACATTCACTTAAGAACTTGCACTGAAGAGAGATGAGAGAGTGAAGGCAAATAACAATTACAGTTTTGCCTATGAGAGAAAAACAGGATTTAGGATATCAGGAGCTGCAATGCAATGAAATATTTCTATAAGCATGCATAATCTAATATTACCTGAGCAATGTCTCCAAGAATTCCAGATCCACATCCCTCAAGCTGTCCTAGATTTGAGAAGGCAATGAGTGGCTCTGGAATGCTGTCTCCATTAAAATAGCAGAATGTTCACCACGGTTTCCTTTTGGGAGGGGATAAAGACAGTATTAAAAGTTGGTGGCATTTTATGATGGCCTCCTGAATTGTTAGTAGATCATCATATCCATTATTGTTAATTATGTTTTGGTGATGGCAGCCTTTTTATTTAAGAGTTGTTTTAAAAACTGCTTTTATGCTGTATGTCTACCTGTCAGTAAGAAATGCTTTTGCATTTTGCAGGGGAACCTGTACATTTTTGGTGGGATGGTGGATTCTGCTTTTACGCAAGCGAAAACTCCTCTCTGGATATATGACACTGGTATGATACACAATAGCCAGTCTTTTCCATGGAACATTCCAAGTCCATAGGTACTAATAAATAGTAAGAACCAAACTGTTTTCTGCTGCTTGTAACATAGTCTTCCCTAGGCTTTACAAGAAGTAATGTCTGTAAAACTGTGTGCAAATTTTCCCCCTAAAATTAGGCTGTTAAGCTATCAGAGTCAGCTCTTACTTTAATTGGAAAGTATTTTATGGGGAAGTTTTACGTATTTCAAGCTCTCAGAATTTCCATTCCTCTCTCCTTCCCTCTGAAGTTTACTGTTTCATCATAAACCCCAATAATTATTACATATAATATTTAAAGGTTTTTTCATTATGTTACATGTATTTTAAAACCCAAGCTCTTTGTTTTATTATGGAAGAAAGTAAATCAGTGAACTATAGACCTCATTTGGTGTTTTTACTGAAAAAAAATACACAAGCTGGCAACAGAAATGATGGAACAGGAAAAAAACAATATAATTAAATAAGAAGGTAGGAAATTAACATCAGCATTTCCTAACACAGGCCATTTTTTTTTTCTTTTTTCCATGAGAAAAAGCATTTGGTATCTCTTAAGTATGTATTCTAATAAAAGCAGTGCAACATTTGAATTTAATAGCAATGTCATACACTATATATTCTCTGTTTTGAAATACTGTGTATGGTAATAGCTGCTTATTTTGATGGCAGATGGAGGAAAGAGAGAGAGAGATTGAGTTCTTTTTGAGCTAGTAAATCTTGTGGCAAGACCAAGATTTAAGTTCCCTGGCTTCTTTTGCTACTTTACTTTAAGTAACTTTAAGTTAACGTTTGGGATTTTCTAAATCCTTTCTTTGCTTTCCACCATTTATCTGAAATACTTGCTGAAAGAATAGAGAAGCTCAGGTACAATATATTTCATAGGAAAAAGCATTTTATTACTCACAGTACTTCTCAGTTAAAACTGGGAATGAGATACTCAAAATCTGTTGCATGTCTAGTTTTTTCATGGTCATATTTAAAATCTTTCCTGGCAAGTATGGCTTTTAGCACTGTAAGCTTGCAATGCTTTCTCATTCTACCTCTGGTGCTGGGTACCTAGTATTTTCTCTCAATTATGGTAATCATAGATCAGTGATTTCTGACTGTTACTTGAGGACTAATTTTAAGGGATCTGTGAAAAGGAAAAAGGGCAAGGCTGTTGTCGTAAGGTTTACATAGTAAGTAGGAGCCATACATACGTCAGTAAATATGGGGGTTCTGCAAGTTCAGAAAATGCTGAAAATCGCAGATTATTTCTGCACTGTGAAATTTAGCCTGAGGAAACAGCAGGTACAGTATGGTATCTCCATGATTCAGTATCAGATAAGGATACAGAAAAAAACATTTAAGCTATGTCTCCTGTAAGTCTTTCGGTGCTGCTGTTTTACTGTGAAGCAGATTTCTTCTTGCTTGTCAGTGGAAAACGCCAGGATGAGACTTACTTGAAAATGAGATCAGTAATTTGAAAAATTAACGTTGGAGGAGTGTCCTCTTGTGGTCTGGGATATAAACTGCGCTTTATTAAAACAATCCCCTAGATTCTGCAAGATGGACAGAGTGCTGTAACGTACCAGCAGAGACTGAGGTAAGGAGCCAGGAAGTGGTGAATGTGTGAATCAAATGCCTGTTGCTTTGTTGATTAAACAGATTGCTTTGAAATATGTTCCCCCAAACAGTTCCAATCTCATCTCTTCAGAGACATGTGGCTGTACTTTATTTCTTTGCACTTTGAATAATGAAGGCTTTTTCCTTCTTTAAATCAGTATTTGAAAATATGGCTCTTAAATTTTAAGGCCTATATAAGAAGGTAAGCCCTCTCCTCTACTATTGTTTCGTTTTTGTGATATCCTTATCAAGGAAGCTAATTTTAAGTGGAATATTGCAACCATACATGAAGTCTGAGCTTTTAAGAAGTAGTGCTGTGAAAACAGATTGGCAGTTACGCTAATAAATTTTAAAATGTGAACAAAAGAACAAACCAAACACTTGCCTTATATTTCATTTTGGGTTTAGCTGGGCCTCCCCAGGTTTGGGTTTACAAGTCTCAGCAGTGCCAAAAGCTGCTGTAGGCACAGTGAGAACCACCTGGTTTCCTTCTCAGAGTCTGGGACTTGTGGTAGGCAAATTCACACCAAGTACCATGAGGTAGTTCCTCCTGAGACTAAAGGTACCTCAGTGAGGAGAGGTTCAGAGTGGTAGAAAGGGCTACATCCCCCATTATATTCCCAAGAGTTGACCAATGTATTTACAACATGCCCTGAAACTTTGCCTACCAGTAGTTGTGAACGCAGTAGTACTGATGGGAGTGTAGTACTCCCATCAGGTAAGGCAGTAGGTATTGTGGTGGACTTAAAAAGGGAGGGTTGCTTAGATTTGGGAATGGCTTCTATTTGCATCAATACAAGTCATCAGTGGTGGATTTATTCTGAATTTTCAAAGAAGTTTAACAAAACCCAAAGCCATGGCTTTCATTACTTGGGAATATTCCCAAGACAGACATTGCTACTGATACAATTTGATCTGTTAACAGTGTTTTGTTGAACTGTTTTAGAGCTTGTCACCAACTAACAGAAAAGGTCACAGCGCAGTAGTATACCACTCCAGCATGTACATCTACGGGGGGTACTTCGGCATCAGAGGCATTTCACAGGAGTTTTGGACTTTCCATTTTGGTAAGTTAAAAAGCATAAGGTTTTGAGCCAGTGTACGATCAAAACAATGACTGCTGTAGGAAAGCATGCCTGGCTCTGTTAAATAAATTTGGATCAGTAGAAATGTTCAGTTAGTTTTGGCTTCTGTTTGGCAGCATTTAATTATGAAGTCTGTCAATTAAACTAATACCCAGCTGAAATGAATTGTACTGGAAGAGGTTTTGTGGTGTTTGCCAATTTTAGAGCTGAAAATCAGGGAGACTGTTTTGTTCACTACTCATTCGAGTCTTCAAGGATTACCAAAAACTGCCAGATGCAGCAAGGACCCTGACTTCAGCCTATTGATGCCATCTTTTGAATCTCAGATCTAGAACTGACCATGGGGAACCAAACCTGACAGGAGATGGTTTCATTAGCATATTCATCACTAATCTGGTGGTTGCAAATCAGATAATTCCCAGAGACTTCCTAAATGGATAACTTTTGTTATCTGGTGGCCATTCAGTCACTATTTTGAAATGAATGATAGGTTTATCTCATCCCTCATTCCCTCACAGGGAGAATAAGTATAGATATTGCTGAAGGAATGTTTTTGTTGACTGTTTTTTCCCCTCTCACAGCCAGAAAATTATATTTCTGTGTCAGAGTTAGTGAATTAACAAAGCTGTAGGAAAAACTGCTCTGTAAATAAGATTTCCATGACATCTGTCATACAGCAGCTGACATTTTCAGTAAAAGTTTATTTCAAAACTGATTTTTGAAATGCACTTTTCAGTGTTAGAATTTATGCTGTTAACTTAAAGCAAGCTTACAGCAGAAACCCTTATTCTCCAACAGCATAGTTACTTTCTTCTTGAAATAAATCCCTTGTGAAATACTAGGGATATTTACTAGGTAAATCTGGTACATCTATAAATGAGTATTTTGCTTTCAGATACAAGAAAATGGTTGTGTGTTTCCACCCCATCTCACAGTATTGGCCCAGGACCTCGGCATGGCCATTCAGCAGTGGTTTATCACACAGGCATGTACCTCTTTGGAGGACTGATGGGGCTGAGTGAACAGAAGGATTTATGGAAGTGGGACTTTGTAAACAGCAGCTGGTCCAACATCAGAACAAGGTAAATGATACTATTTGTTACACTAAATTAGCACAGAAAGAGAGAATTAATCTTACCATTTGATACTGTATGCAGGCAGAGAGGGAGATGCTGTCCTTTCAGTGACTGTGGGAATTTCTCAGATCAAGACGTAGTACTGTTGCCACCCCTTGGGTGCCAGTTGGCTTTGCTTGGAAGAGCTGTTGGCAATGTGTTGATGCAGCTGTCAGCAGTGCAATTTTGATGTCCCAGTGCAGCTATTTAGTAGTCATTCTTCTGAGTCAAAAGAAAAAGAGAGGCTAAAATCAGTGTCACTTTCCTGCTGATCGCCCCTTAACTGCTGGTTTCTCTTACATTTAGCCAAGGACCTCCTCCAGTGGTAGGTCATGCTTCAATAGTCTTCAAAGACTCCATGCTGATTTTTGGTGGAGGGATTTCAAATTCCAGTCCTAATGATGACCTCTGGAAGTATCATTTCAATACACAGACATGGAAGAAGCTTAGCATTATCACCAAGGCAAACTTTTCTCCTAAAATGTATCACTGCATCTTAGGAGTTGGTATTGGTTTCCAAACTACTTCAGATTTCACTGACACGTTCCCTAGCAGTTGGAAAAGTAAGCAGAAGGACCATTACCAGCTGGTGACCATCCCAAAGCACACTCGCCTTTGCAACTACTTCCGTCAGCAGACCGCGTACCAAGTGCTCGGCAATGAGGAAAGCGATGCAATTGAAATGAAAACCTTTAGCTTGCCTCTGGGCTTTTGTCCATTGCAAACCACTTCAGAGGCAGAACTACACCCTAACAGAGCAACAAGCATTTTGTCAAAGGATGGGTCTCTGTGTCTGCTTGTCTCTTCAGAAGAAGAGACTTTTGCTGCTGCTCAGATGGTTGGAGAAGAGGAGGGAGCCAGCTGTCAGCTCGCACCTGCAGTGGATACCGATGTGCTGCTGCTCATTGGGGGTAAACCTTTGTCCAGCTCATCTGAGATCTCAGTCAGGCAAATGGAGTTTGACAGCTTGTGATCTCTTTGATTGCAGTCACCACAACCATGCCAGTAGGTGGTAAACCAACTGCTTGCAACTGTCTTCAGTTTCCTATGGGCACACTGGAGAAAAAGTAGTAAAACCTCATACCAGCTCTGAACAGATTTTTACAATGTGAACAAACCCTAATACATATTTTAAGTTAGAAGTTGCGATTTCTGAGAGGAGCATGTTGGAATTATGCTTTTTTTTGTTACTCTTCTTCTCATCAGTTAGTATCCTTTCAAATTGCAGTGACTGATGCTGCCTTGAAAACTGGAACAAATAACCCCTACAGCTCCGTAACTGCTATTTAAGGCCCAAAGCTTGCTTATTTTGCACTGGCATAAGAAATATATATATGCACTTTGAAACCTGCATTTGAATAAAGTTTGTGCGTGTTTTGGTCACATTGGAGGGGTATGATGAATCTTAACAGCAACATGACATGGCCTAGACAAATTAGCAAGTGAAACGTAGAAGATGCTCAAGGACTGCATTTAATCCTGGGGAAGTGAAACCATGTGCAGCATTAGAGCAGAGGAAGTGAATTACACCTGGAAGAACAAAACAGTTGCCAACTGAATGGTAGGCTTAATGCCTGAGCACAGAATCAAAAGGAGAAAAAATGAAAAGAGGAAGGCTTGACAGGAGTGGTGACTCCTGGCTGGTAACTCAAATTTTAGCCACAAAGAGATTTCTGTGTTTCTGACTCCATCTCTCTGTGTTTTGTCAACGTACATAGTATTTGTTACACTTTCCCCTGTATACTAACAAATCCTGAGTTCATGCGCGGCTTGTTTTAATATTCTGAAAAGAAAATGTGCTTTTTTTTTTCGAAAGAGAATATTGTCCAGGATTTCAAGCATTTGTTTCCATAGAAGTTACTGAGACGCTGGCCTTCTGACTGCACCTCAGCCATCTTTAAGAAGAGATCCTGATATCTAAAATTACTGGAAAGTGTAACTTAGTACTTCTGAAATTTGAAAAGATCACTTTTCAGAAGTTCCATGGGAATCATGAATTTGAAGTGAGAGTGTTTACAGATACTTCCATCACCTCTTCACAAGTAGCTTTCACATTAATTCGATAGGAAAATTATAGATGAGTTCACAGAAAAGCTACCTGAGAATTATTTGGACTTTCCATGGGCTTTGTTTGGAAACAGAGAGGATTGTATGTAAATAAATCCTGCTGCATTTCATGTCAGTGTGTGCTCATTTCCTGAGCTTTCATGAATTTAAAATATGTGTTTATGTTTTCAAGCAGAACAAAGAACTTACCTTTCTGAACAGGGAGTGTGCTCCTACAAGCCCCAGTGATCTCATGGCACTTCAGCCAGCCCAAGCTTTGAATTTCTTCTCCAAGAATAGGGAATTGCTTGGTTTGGGGAGGTGTGTTTAAAGGATGTCAACAGGCCGATTGAGTTGAGCATATAGAACACTGTAGTTCTAAATCAGCAGCATGTTTTTCCTTTGCTGGCTGACATGCCTTGTTTTGGCATTCTCCAGAGAGTTGCTGTAACATACAGACTTTTATCTAGGGCTGACAAGGAAAGAAAATTTAACTGGAAAGGGCAACAATAAACCAGTGATTTTCCAAGTTGCAGGAAGGTTTCTTGGCAGCTTCAGATATCCTGGGGATGTGCAAGAGCCCCAGGAAAATGCCATCCAGCCTCTGTCATTCCTTTCTTCCTCCCTCCCAAACTCTCTTCCCTTTGGCAGCCCCACAAAGGGTTTAACATTTACTTGGAGCCAACACAGGCAGGACACAAGCCAACCCAAAGGCAACAGCTTGGCACGGGGTGGGAAACACAGCTTGCAGAATGTGCCCATCTCCTCTGTTTCTTCCCCTGGCCCCTGTTGCCATTCCAAGTCAGGTGGCTGCATCAGCACCTTCAGCAATCATCGCCAGCTTCTTCACCCAAGAGATCCTACACCTCCCAAACCAGCCTGATACCACAGGGGTCCTCACTGTTGCTCACCCCTGGACAGACATGAGGTGTGCAGGAGCCTGGGGAAGGGCTGTGGCTGGAGAAATGGGGGGCTTGGGGCTTACTCGCTGGAGGCTGAGCTGCAGTTAGTCCTGATAATGCTGTAAAAATGGAGAGAGCTCCAGTCCTGAAAGTGGGAGACTGCTCCAGCAGACTTGCTGAAGCCACTGGAGGCTACTTCTCCCCTTGCCGGCCAATTCCTAGGTCTGTAAAACACAAGGGTGAGCTCAAGCTGGAAGGGAAGGGGTGCAAGATGTAAAGCAACTGCATTCCACAGCAGAAGCACCTGGAACCTCAGTTCTTTCAGTCACCATGATCCATATTTTATGTTCTCTCCCCCCACAAAAAGGTATCTATGACCTCAGCATGCAAAACCTGCTCACACCACTACTATATCCCATTTCCTGAGTTGTCTGCCCTTTCAAAACTCAACCAGTGCTATCAACTACACTTAACAGGGCTCTTGGAGCACCTCAAGTGGTTTCACTCCTGGTTTGCTGGCACCTTTTTATCCAGGTCTGTCACCTTTCACAGAGAAAGAGAGATCCTGGATGTGCTTATGGTATTTGTCTGTAACTGTAGCAGTTAATGAGAATTCATCCCCAGCCCAAGTGAGTGACTAGAAGCTGCTGCCATCTGAGAGCCCTGTGGTGGCCTACATGAAATAATGAATGGAATTACTCCAGCTAATGGCAACTATTTAGAAAGCAAACAAAACACATGGGTTTTGGCTGGGCTTGGACCGAAGGGGCTCCCACTGATCTTAGCTATTTTAAAATGTCTCTGAAAGAAAGGGAAGCTGGCATGTATTTGAAATGCCCACAGTCTAGTTCAGTCTACAGAATAAAAGCAGAAAGATGCAGCACTCTTCAGTAATCTTTGAGATGTGAGATGTATTGTTGTGTCCTAAATCATATACAAGAGGACAAATGCATTGGCCTTAACTATCTCAACAAACTCATTAATTACCATTTAGTTTCTGAACACTGAAATGCATGAACAGCAGAGGGACTTTCTTTTAAAATGTAGACATTGTAAGGATTCTTAAAATAAACTCCCTGTGTTTCACTGTTTTGAATTATAAATGGATTTGAAGGACAATTCAGTGACTCAACCAGTGGGACTGTAGTTTGACCTACACAACAGATTACACCACAAGGGAAATGGCTTTCTGTGATTTCAGTCAGTGGGATGGAATTATTTCTGTTCCTTTCGGTACTTTACCAAATTTATTAACTGTTGAGGAACAGGGATGACTAAATGGTTCAGTTTCCCTTTGCTGATTTCCTAAGCATTTCACCACAGTTAGGGTTTGGAAATAGACAGTTTCCTTTAAACAGTCATTAGTACTACTGTACCTCAGACCATAAAACCATCCCTTATTGGAAATAAAAGCAAGATTGCTGAGCTAGTTGGCATGCACTGCTGTCTGCATGTTGTGGAACTGCACTCGGAAGTTCAAGCCTCCTTTCCAGGCACACACCTCAGTGCTTTGACTTTCAAAACCACTGAACACCTAACAGTCCTGCTGCATGATCTCAGCTCTTCTGGAATCAAAGCATTTAACGCTTTCTTTAGCATCTATCTGTAAGTTTAGATGCCATCTTAAGTTATGCTTTAATTGACAACAAATTAAGTTTGTAAACACACAACCTGCAGTTCTGACATCCCAGTAAGTTTACAGATCTCTCAATAAGTTTACAGATCTCTCTCTAACCCAGGTACCCTTCTCTTACATTAGAGGCTGCCAAGCAACGTGAGCATACACACACAAAATGCAGTCCTGCACAGCTAATACACATCCTGAGAAGCCCCTTGGTGAGTGCTCAGCATATGCCTGCCACACATCTTTGCCTTAGATGTCACACACACAGCTTGTGTCCGCAGTCCCAGCTGACCCACCTGTCCTTTACTGTCATAGCAGCATAACACCGTGGTGCTTAAAGATGACTCTGTGAGACTTTTGCACTGATGTGGTATATTTGAGACAAAACTACAGTAGAAACATTTCAAGACTGGGTAGAGTGGACTACAGATCACAGTTTCTTGTTCCCATGAACAGTGTCAATACAGATCTTAGTGCAGTGCCTAAAGCAGTTCATACATCACTACCGTTGTGAAACAGAAGTAAGAGGGCGCACTTCGTTTTATAAAAAAACCCACAAACCAACAAATAAATTATACATTGAGAGCTACTGCCAAGCTTTACATATAAAAGGTAAAAACACAGTAGTTAGTGTGGTTTTAACAAAAAAAGTCTAGCTAAAAAAAGTCTTACATACTTTAAAAATAAGTTTGTCCAGTTATGGGGGTGGGTGTTTATGAAGCAGAGTGCTCACACCAAACAGTAACAAGGAGTGAATTTTGTAGGAGAATCTCACAGCTCCCTGCTGCATAGGGTCTGACTTCAGCACAGAGGTAGCACCCACTCCTTGTGCACACAACACCACACAATGCTGAGCAATGGATCCTGGCTGCAGCAGCCTGTGGGTCTCCCTCCTGAGCACCCTGAATGAAATCACACCTGTGCTGCCTCCAGTTGGGCCTGGCAGCAGGGGCCAACACGTCCATGATGCTGACACTCAGCCAAACACATGGGGATCACATCGGCACCGCTGAAAGGCCACTAGCTTGGTTTGTTGGGGTTTTTTTGGGTACAAAAGTAATGATTGTCCAGCTGCATTTGAAAGCTGTGACACTACCATGTCTAAAAGCTATCTATACACACACTACAACCTTCTAGACTAACACTCTGTGTGCCCATAGAGCTTTAAATGCTATCTGGCTGTGCAACAGAGCTGCTAATACTTAATCTGGAGAAGTTCTGGGCTGTACCAGAATATGTTCACCATGTGAAAAATATATCCAATGCTGTTGGTGAAGGACACGCTGACCTTAACAGTACATCTTTGCTTCAAGAAATGAGAATGAAGAAGGTGCAGACAACACGTTAACAGGCAAGGGCTGAGAACAGTTTGTGAAGAGACCCAAATATAACTGGACTGTTTGCCTGAACTCCTCTAATGGTGCTGCAAATTTTCTTGTCAAAGTTGTGTCCAAAAAGTTGTCCAACAAATAGCTTTTACACAGCTGCCTTTGACAAAGTGTACATGGAATTTAATCAAGCTAATTCATGAACCATGACAGATTACCAGGTAAGTAGTTGTTTTATGTCATTCAACTCACCTAATTTTAAGCCGTTACTGCTGAAGAAGATTCCCTTAATTCAAGTGTAAGACGGCCTGAACTCCCACACTTCAATACCTGTTCCACCAGCTCGTCAGACCATCACCACATAGCCAGCATGTGCAGATGCTCTGGTCTCTGCCTGTCGGACTGAGCAGGTCAGCCTGAAATGCCGTTCTAAGATCAGCACCTCCCCAAGATTCAGCAGTTTGAGATAGAGACCAGGGTGTTTGTTAAGAGCTCTATAAAACCTTTTACTCCAATCACTTACAGCGGGTGGCTGGAGTAAAATCACTTTAGATTCAATCACTTGTGTTTTTAATTTACATTTTAATCATAGAGTTAAAAAAAGCATCTGTCTGTGATGAGTACCGCATGGGCACACAGCAAAAGGGTGCAAGGCCAGTTAATGGGGACAGGCTGGGACATGTGTTAGTAAGTCAGTAGGGGATAACTTTGTTGGGAAAAAAAAAAAAGTATCTTTTCAACCAGGAAACTGGCTTTTCCCAAATGCCTCCAACGGAACACACATTCATTCCCTCCTGTCAACTCTTCCAGCTCTGAAGAGGTTGGCAGTCCTGCCAACATCCAACACCAGATTCACACACAAGTTTTATTTAGAAACCTCTTTAAATACATTCCAAAAAATAGATGATTAGACCTTACGCCAATCAATCAGTAGCAGAGTATTGGTGAGAAAATCCCTTTTCCTCAGTAGCAGATAGGCATTCATTAACAGTTATTAGCACTAAGTGTAGGAACTACCATACCTGTTTGTGTCTGACGAGTAACACCACTATGCTACCTGGTGGCCAGGCAGCACGCAGCACTGTAGTTTTAAAGCAAAACAGTGATGCCAAAGTACAGTGTGTTCAGATCACCCAGCTGTGGTGCCTCAGTCTCACCAGGCTCCCTATGTAAACCATGATTAGGACTAGCTAAATAAGCTATACTGGGTTAAACAGAGTATTTCTTCCACCTATCAGATATCACTGGAAAGAACTGTGTTTGCAGCCCCAAATCTACTAGAAATGGCAAGTCCCCAGTTTAACAGCTGAAATTTTTGAATTTTTAAATAAAGTTTCAAGTACCAGTCCTCTGAAAATTTAGGAAAACCTTGATGCTTTGAAATTTCTATGTGTGTGCACACGTGTGTAAATACAAAGTCCCCTCCAATCAACATCATCTCACCCATGCTGAAACAGAAATGTTGGCTGCTTGGAACCATTTAGATTTTAGGGGGACACACTCACCACACGTTATTTACCTGTTCTCTGCTGTATGGGGCTATTTAGGGGGAATCCAAGGATAGTGTTCAACATGCAGTGCTGTAAAGCTGTAAGCCTCTGCTATTCTACTTTTGGGAGCAATTCAAGCTAATAAACAGTTCACAGAGCTCCTGAACCCAATGGGAAGAGTCAAATATCAAACATGCCTTAAAGAAAATGCTGCTGCATTCTGTCTATTTACAAAACCAACACATGTAGCTGGCGAATGCCAACTCAGCTGCTGAGCAAACAGATCAACAGCATGTGCCAAGTTTCCCCCCACAGTCCTGGCTTTGTGCAGGAATCATGCTGTCGCAGCCATAGCTTCCCTTTTCCTGCAGGAACTTTGCTGGCAATTGTGTTTTTAATCCGGACTAAGACATTTGATATTTGAATTGGGAACCTTCAACATTTTAATGTGCAATAAGGCTCAGGCTTAAAATTATAAAAAGAATCCAGTACTCAACTGGAAGTAATGCCGACAGAGCTGAGTAATGGGTGCATAAGAACTCCATCAAGAACAGGAGCTCTGCTCTGGCTGGTGGTTCAGGGAGCAGGCAGCCCACCCACACAGAGCTTTAGGTGCTGGCTGGAAAGGGGCTGAAGAGCCTACCCCCACAGTCTTGAATCCCAGTTCTTGAAGCAATAGCTGCAAATCATAGTTTGCAGAGAATCACTCTGGCATGGTGCTCCCAAGAGCTCCCACAGTATCTGGGTTTCTCTATTAAGGCCTCAGGGGTTTTGAGGAGTGGCAGTGTGCCATGTAAATACCATGTGGCTTCTTCCTTAATACTCTCATTCAACCTTTTGCAAACAAGAGCACAAGAGCAGCAGTAAGAACGCCCCAGTCGGAAAGAAGCAGCCCAGCCAGGCACCAGCTGACCTGCACAGTCCACAGTGATTTGGTCCACATCTGTGTCTACGCTGAGACACATGCATGTAACCAGTGTGCAGAGGTGAAGCTGTGCATACAGGTTCCAGAACCAACTGTCACATTTAGAATTGTTTTAAAAAAACACATGTATATAAATATTTATAAACAGCAGCACTGTGCAGAAAACATCCTTTAACCCCAGTGCTATGTACAAACCTCCTCCTAAGAAAGATCCCAGTTGTTCCACCTACGTTCTCCCCTGTTAGCAGATGTGGAGTTTTACCATTGGGCTTCTGTGTTTCTCCTCTGATTCTGCACTGACCTTTTCACAGGCTGTACCCCTAGAGCTCACATGCTTACCTCTCCATAGCCACGTGGAGATACTGCTACCCAGGATTAAAATGATCTCTTCAAACTGTACGCGTTTTATCCTGTACTTGACTTGAGCACCAAGAGGCCTTCACCAGCAAGTGCTTCTACCTTTGTTCTGCAATGGAGTGAACTGCTTACAGGAGCTTTTTATCTTTTTTTCCTGTTTTCACCTTATTCCTTCTATTCTTTGTTCCACATACAACTACTAGATAACACTCGGAACAGGATTTGTGGTGGTGTTAAGAACTGATCTAGTTGTACCCACACACTGCTAACATCCCTGATAAAAGCATTCCCAAAGCACAGCATCTGGAAACAACATCCAGAAACAAGATAGAAACAAGAAAATAATTTTCCTTCCTAGTTCTAAGACAACAAAACTAACCAATAAGCAGTTCCTGAAGTGCCTTCACTGCTTCAGCATTTAAAACAGACATACCTCTAGCCTAGAACATGTGTATTTGAGTCATACAGGAAATCAAATAATCAGTGTCAAAATGCGGGACCTCTGCTGTAGCCTGCTAATGCTAAAAGTTGTTTGGCAGGTTAATTTTCCTTTTCCTGGTTGCAAATTGCAGCTCAAATCCAGTCAGCACAGTTGATCATGGATGGACTAGATTTTCATTCTTTCCAGGTACTGTAAAAAGAGGTGCAAAGATTATTAAGGGGTTTAAGGCCAAAAAGGAGAGTATGTGTTGGTAAAACAAAGGAAAAACAGTGTATAATCACACAGAAGAAAATGTCCTTGGCTGTATGAAGCAGTCATCAGTACTGTGAGAATATTGTGTACATAGCACGGCCACGAGGTGGCCCTACAAATTCTCCTAATCTTTCCACTGTTAATCTAGAGAGATAGGGATATGTGCTCACACTTCTACACTGTGGTCGCACGCTACAACACTAACTTCACAGTGAACGCTTCCCATTAACACCTGAGAGGCAGCACAGGGTACGCAAGACTAAACCTAGCGTGAATGGAACACAACCAGATTCTGTTCCTCGTGTTCAGAATTAGTTCCAGTGTGGTACTTCACTTCTCCCTGAGGAGAAGATCAAACGTGCATTGGTTTTACATTCTGATTTTGACAGTAATTCCAGTTAGATTGCAATAAATGTAGAAGTCTCTTCCTGGATCCCAGCAAACCAGCAGGCTGTTTGACTCCTGTTCAGCAAGAACCCAAGCAAGCCTTCTTGAAGGATACCTTGGAGGTGTGTTAGAAGATTTGACTTTCTACAAAGTGGGAAGGTGCAGAAACTCCTTCTAGAGTTCTGTGGTAAGTAAACACTTCGTTCTTATTGTAGTATCCTCAGAAACACAGCTAAAAGGCGGAAAAAAATAAAAGAGGTCCAGTAAATACACTCCTCTGCCATGACTCTATTAAAGAGTATTGTTGCAAAATGCATTAATAGCTGTTCCCCTTGTAATTTAATGAGATCAATCCCCCTGCCACCCATCACCCCTGCCAATCCTGACAAGTATTGGAACACTGTAATGACATTTCTCCGAAAATTCACTTGTACCATCATTTTACTCCAGTACTAAAACATGTTCGTGGATAAGGAAACAAACTGAAATGACAACTAAAAAGAATCATTCAATTTTATAGCTCTTACAATGACACAGATGTACCTCAAATTCCAGCTAAATTTGTATGCTTTGTTCTTTTACTTACCTGAATTTCAGAAAGTTTCCTTACGCTCCAATGATATACAAAAATATACACACATCAGCTGCTCTATTTCTTTATAAGATTTCAAATGCTATAATTTAGCAAGACAGAACTGTAGCTTGTAAGCACAGCAAAACAAGGTACTCTGTATAAATGACCACTATAATTGTTTAAATGGAAGTAGTAAGAGCACAAGCTTCCCTTCTACCCCATACAGACTCTGAAGTGTGTGCTGAGGACACCTTACCTTGCAAGGATTTCAGATGTCTGCTGGGGTGGTGGCAATCCAGCTGATGACAACAGGGTCTCCATGCTGCCTTTCACTGCCTTCATAGCTAAGGCAACATCATTTCCCAAAGGTCCATTGGGAATAAGTCCAGTCTGAATTGGGGAGAACAAAACAGAAAACTGAAATAAAAACCTGCCAGGACAAGACAAGCTAATCATAGACTGGTTTGTGTTGGATGGGACCTTAAGACTCCCTGCCATGGGCACGGATGCCTTCCACTAAATCAGGTTGCTCTAAGCCCCGTCCAACCTGGCCTTGCACACTACCAGGGATGGGGCAGCCACAACTTCTGTGGGCAACCTCTGCCAGCGCCTCACCACCCTCCCAGTGAAGAACTTCTTCCTTGTATCTAATCTGAATCTCGCCTCTTTCAGTTTAAAGCCATTCCCCCTTGTCCTGTCCCTACCTGTCCTCGAGAAAAGTTCCTCTCCATCTTCCTTGTTGGCCCCCTTTAGGCACTGGAAGGCTACTCTAAGGTCTCCCAGCAGCCTTCCCCAGGTTGAACAAACCCAGCTCTCTCAGCCTGTCTCCATAGCAGAATTGCTCCAGCCCTCTGATCATGTCTGTGGCCCTCCTCTGGTCTCATTCCAAGAGATTCACATCCTTCTTATGTTGGGACCCCAGAGCTGAGTACAGTACTACAAATGCGGTCTCATAAGAGCAGAGCAGAGGGGGAGAAACACCCTCCTTCAACCTGCTGGCCATGCTTCTTTTAATACAGCCCAGGATATGTCTGGCTTCTGGACTGCAAGTGCACATTGATGTGTCATGTTGAGCTTCTCATCAACCAACATCCCAAAGTTTATATATTAACAGAATATATGTGTTGTTTGATTTACTCCAGCTGAATTTGCTTTATTTCTGGTCTAGTATGTTATTTTGTGGGCTTTCAAATTATTAAAAAATATTATATTTTACTATTTTACTTGTTAAGGATTGGTCAAATAACTCACTGGCACTATCCACCTCGGTGTTATCACGGGCTGGGAGGACACCTACAAGAACCAAACAAATGCTCATTAGGAAAGGTTGGAAGTAGCTGAGAACATTCTAAAATACTGCCTCCCAAAGCAATCCTGTCCCCCACATCCATCTCGGGTAGTTGTCTACTGCTAATCTTTAAACCACGCTAGTGATGAGCTGCAGATCTGACTTTGTACCAGAAGGTAAATGGCACCCACAGAGCATACAGCTAACACCCACTCACTCACAGAAACTCACTGGGAGCAGTTTCAACATAGTACTCCCTTCCAAAGGCAACTGAACCCATTATCTTTTCCTGCTTTGTGAACAACATTTACTGAGAGCACATTTCTGTGAACAGTTCAGATGTCCTACTCCTTCCTTGTTTTTTGGTGCACACAGTAACATTTTTTTTGCCAGCACAGATTATAAGATATTTCTTTACCTATATAAAAGGGTTGTTTTGTGTTAAAATTTATTTTTCAAGTATTTATTTTATATATATATACACACACATACATATGTCTCTGTGTGTGTATGCACATTTACATATAATTTCTCAAGTGTTATATATACCCAGAAGCCTAAGAAGCAGGCTGGCAGTCACAGCTATACTAAATACTACAGGCTCTTGTGGCACAAATACAAATTAATTCTTCAGGTTCCTTCACTCCCATTACAAAGCTGCAGTGTTCACAACCCTACGCCAGCCACTCTTCAAGTAGGGCAGCATATACGCAGTGATCCAGGTCAATCACCACTTCACTCTACTGCAGCAGATCCAAGCCTGGTTGACAGATGCTAGAGCCAGAGGAGAGTTCATGAGTAAAACCCACTGTACATTTGAAGGAATAAGTCTGATTTTGAAATACATTTACCCGAGGTGTGGCTTCTGTAAAGTCAATTAGATTCTCTGTCAGTGATGTTAAGGAAACGTCATGATCATCTGGAGTGCTCTATGGAATAAATCAGTTTTGAATTGAATTCCCATTAGTAATCAGACAGGTCTGCTGAATACTCCAGTGGCTTCCCAAATTATGTTAAGGAACTTAATGTTATGCTCTTGATGAATGCCATGGCTTATCAGGTTTGTTCTCTCAAATTTTTATGTATAATCTTTTTCAATAGACTTTTTATTTTACTTATTCTCATCAACATATTGGAAACAATGTCAAGCATCAAATCACTGGGGTATAAAGGGCTCCCCACAAGTGTGAGGAAAACAATTGGTTTAGAAAAAGAAGTTTCAGGCAAAAAACCTTAAAGGACACTCAGAAATGGCCTTTGGAGAGATGTATACAGTGACCCTGCCTGCTCCAGAAAGCACTCTGGCATTCACCAAGACTGGTATTCACTGAGTTATGAGAGGCATGCGGCAAGGTCTGCTGTGCTTGCCTGGAGGCGGCAGCAGCTCAGAATGTGACATACAGAAACCTTCCAGGCTGACAGGTGGTGATACCTTTGAAACAGCAGCCTCCTCAGGTGGAGCCAGATTAGCTGGAGTCAGCAGGTCCTCATGGTTAGAGGCAGCATGGTTCTCATTCAGTGCATTACTGAAAGGAGAAAACATTCTTATCAGCACACTACCTGGATAGCAAGAAACACTGCTGCTCCTCCCTGATAGCTCAACCCAAAAACTGGACACCAATTCTATGTGTGGCATACTTGTAAGCATGCTGAAGAAAATGCCTTCCAACTATTTCTGCAGATTACTGCTCTCTTTCATGGTTTCAGCTACAGTTGTGTATAGACCCAACAGTTATCAGCATCTTCTATCTCAAAGGAGCTTCTTCAGCCCTTGTTCCTAATTCGCCTGAAGCCTTCCCAGCCATGCTCTTATCTTCTTCTTTAGAGCCAGAGCAGCAGTATGTCAGGTATTTCAGTCCTTTCAGAAGATGAGAGAGATTCACTCAATGCTTGCTAAGATATTCACCCCAAGGCCTGCCTTGTATTGATCAACTGGTGCAACAGTACTTGAAGATGCATTTGTCAACCTGCTTAGTCAGATGTAGCCTAGAAGCTCAGCAACTGTTCCTCATATTTTCAGACCTGCTCATGCTAATCTCCACATGGTTCCTTTATCCCAGAAACACATTTCTCCTGAATCACTTACAGAACAAAGATGTTTGAGGCAGGGATTGCTTTCAGCAGCTCTCCTGGGTCCAGAAATACTGGACTGGTTGTTGGGGGACTACTCTGTGTTTTGCCTGATGGGATAATGTTCCTGGCACAAAACAACAAAAACAAAAAAACAAAAAAACAAAACAAGTACAGCCTTCCATGGGAGGCTCTTCATGAATCACTAGTTACAGCACACTTTTGAGATGGCTAGATGTACATTTTGTTCACTACCCCCATGTGCTCTTTGAGGTGTGACACATGCTTATCTTCGTAAGTGGTCAAGAAATTACATGTTGTAACTAACTTTTTTCAGTGCATGAAACACCAACTGAAACTAGCAATCATTTGAGATTCTGTAATTCTCAGGAAATCAACTGTTAGTTTTGCACATAATTTTTTTTCTCTCACTAGAAAACAGCTACTGTAAACAGTCCCATCCTCTCTCCCCACACTGAAGTTGTTCACAGGTTAGAAGTAACTATAGTGATTGAAGCTGCTGTTGCAGTGATGTTTATCAAATTAAAATACGGGCAAATAAAGAGTATCTGGATTACCTTGTATATAATAAAACTTTGCTGGTTTTCATTTTAAAACCACTTCACACTCACCAGGTAAAGCTACACTACGCAAGGTAAAATGCAATGATCACTGAACCACCAGAAGTCCACAGTGAACTGCAGGTTCTCAGTGCTGTATTTGGGTAACTAAATCACATGTTTCTTCCAAATCTATTCAGTACCTGGCAGCAGCATCCTGAACATTGGAATTCTTGACACCTGTCAGGCTGTCTTCTCTTATGACCTGAGAAGAAAAAAAATGAACAAAGACATTTCTGATACCTGTTTCCATCTTGTGTTGGTTCAGAGAATCACAGAAGAGCAGAGTGCCTTCCTGCCAGCATGAAACTATGTTCTTTTACTGCTCAGGGACTTAAAGCATCAATTCAGTGTAGAAATGAAAATAACTCGCCAACATAGCCAAATAAAATACCACTAATTGCTACAGAATCTACTTGGACATGCTAGAAGCAAAGTGCTAGTCACAGAATCACAGAACACGTTCTTGGTTAGAAGGCAACATTTGGAGTTATCTGGTTCAAGAACCACTCAAACCAGGGCTTGTTCGGGGCTTTGTCCAGTTAACAAGGATGGAGTTATCATCAAGGATGGAGGTTCCTCCTTGGGCAAACGCTGTTCCAAAACTGGACCACTATTATTGTGAAGAAAGCCTGAAAGGCTCTCTTTACTCTGCCTTGGACTTTGGCTCCTGGAATATCCTTATCTGCAAGGCACCTTCACCACCACCAGGCAATTGAAGAGAAATAAAGCATTTGAAAGCATCACAGTCCTTATCAGATGAGTATTTACCTTGTGCCCTACTTCTGCCTGGGCCTTCAGGATATTACTTTTGATATCTGCTGGAAGCCACGTTGCTGCTACGACTGGGCTCTCAATTGCATTGTTAAGACATTTATCTGTCAACTTCACCACTTCATCCTAGACAGGAAAAAAAATCTTTATTAGAAGCAGTTCCCACATGGAAAACTCTAGGCTGAAATTTATTAACATCTCTAAATAACAACAGTGCTCTGAGGAAGGGGAAAGTTACCAGATTTATACCAAAATGAAAAAGCATTTCCCCCTTTATTTTGGAACTCAGTTGCAAAGTCACAGCAAAACATAAAGTAAAAAAAAAAGTACAATGCTTAAAAGTGAAGATGTAAAGTGCTGTGCTAAAAATACAGTGTGTGAGAACTGGAGTCTATATTTGCAGCCTAGTTTACCTGTAAATCAATACAGCAACCATCGTATTTTATCATACCAGTAAAGCCTGACTATAAATTGATAATTTACCCTGAAATGCAAGTTGGAAGGTTTTTAACTTAAAATCCACTTAGAACAACAGTTTAGTGTGCTATTAACTACCTCTTCCATCACTGATGATATCAGAACAAACTAGCAGGCAGATATAAAATGAAGACAATTAAAAATGAGATACCTTTCACTACAGTGTATTTCATTATGTGAACTGCATTACTTAATTACAAAACGTTAATTAAGCATTCAATTTACTAATTGCTATTTGATTAGCAACAGAAGTTAATCAGCTGAGTGAAAACTAAATCTCGTGACCTTTCTTCTCAGGATACGGTTCAGCAGGGGGAGACAGAGTCCTACTTTCCTCAGCATATGCCCTGAAGCTGGCTCTTTCCTGGGGGCCAGTGCTCCATCCCTGCAACACCCCCCCGGGCAGGCACCCCCTGCTGCATTCCCACATGCACCAACTGCAGCGTGTCCAGAAGGAATGAAGCCCATTGCACAGAGTGAGCATGGGAGAGGAGTTAGAGAGGTGAATACCTGTCCTACACACAGCTCTCCATCCCCCTTTAGCTTTTTTTCATTCACTGGAGTGAGAACTTCTAAGTATTTAGCCTTTAGAGAGGGGAAAAAGTTTCCTTATCTCCTCCTTTTCTCATCTCTCAGGGTATCCAAACAGGAGCTTACGAGACTCTAGAGGAGAACCCTTTTAAAATTCTGACTCCAGTCAGCAATGAACTCTGCAAAATACTCAAGACCCCTGTCAACGTAAGTGCTGACATGATCAACACAAGTATGAGGAGGAACACCCAGTGTTGCTAGTGACTATTGCTAGCAGATATTAAGAGACACACATTCCCATAATTCATGAAGACAAACAAAATAATTAATGTTTAAGTGTTCTTATTTTAGAGAAGCTGCTGAAATTGCCAAAAGTCTGGAAGAATTAAAACTGAATTATTATTACCTGTACAGTCACAGTACCCAAGCGTGATAACCCTTGAATTCTTACACTGGACCCCACTGAAGCAGATGGTTTATACAAATCCCTGACAGAATTTCTAAGGCGCTATTCCAGTACCACTGATACAGTAAACTTGATATTTTAACTGAACACCTGAACAAACAGTTTAATTAAGTTGCTTTTAGTTTATTAATGATTAGATTCCCAACTTTTGGAAAAGTTTAGTACTATTAAGAAATATTTTAATCAAGTGTAAGTTCTATTCAATATTTTCACCAATATTAAAGAAACATTTTTCTCAATCCTTTCTATTTTGTGACTGAAAAAAGCACTGGTGTTTTACTGTATTATGTTTTTTTTTTTAATGGAAAGAGCATATAGCTAGAGGGGAAAGCATCTGGCACCTGACAACACCTCAAGACGTCTCATTTACAAGACAGTTCTGTTGTTCACATAAACCAATAAACCTGCTGGGGTTCATCAATAGTCTAGCTCATTACAAATTGTTACTGTTTCCATGTACCAAACAAGCTATATTTGTACTCAATTCTTCAGTTAAAATACATAACTACGCAGCAATGTAAAAAGGGAAGGAAAAACAAAGACTAAAGACAGCAACAGCGGTGTGCGATCCCAATCCTTTGTGCTTCTGAGCAGCATTCCTGGTGCCACTGAAAAATCACTTTGTGCACAGAGATGGGAGTCTAATACAGACTAATTTTGGAACAATTTCCACATGTTTACAGATCACAACAAATTCAGAAAAAGAAAACCCTCACGTCCTCGCATTCCTGACTCCAGAGAAGACTTCAAACATGGTGAAACAGGGTGAACTTTTTACTGTTCCTTTCACTTCAGCAGCTGATGAAAGCTGAGTGTGTATTTAAGAGCTATTTGCAGATCTCTTTTGGCAGATCTGGTCACTGTGCTAGAGAAAGCTGGGAAAGGACAAAGTCACATTCTTCCATCCCAACAGAATTTGGCAGGGAGTAGTGGTGAAGAATGAAACCATTCATTCCCCCCTTCCCAGTTTTCATTCTACAAAGATTTCTCTTTTTTCCTAAAAAAAGATGGATAGCTAGATAAATATTTCCCTATCAAAGAAATCAATCCAGTTTGGTTGATTACAAGTACTGAATTAATAGAGATGATTGTCATGCCATCTTTGACCCCTGACAGAAAACAGGTTTTAGTTATTTTTAGTTAACAAAGGTAAAACAAGCAGTTTGTTGGCATTTGACAGTGCCACTTACAAAATTCAGGATACAGCTCTGCCCTCATAACTGAAAGCTAATGCTTTACCATGATGCATTTTACCAAACCTTTTATGTACTGTAACTGTCTCTACATAGCAGGTACCTTATGCACTGGTAAAACTTAAGGGAGACAAGATATATTGAAATCTGTAATCACACACTTTCAGAGAGAATGCTTTAAGACCCTGTTCATTTGAAGCAGCAGCAAGCTCCAGGATCGAAGCTCGTTGCAAGGTTTTAGTGGATATATTACAGTCCCAGTCAGTTCAGTCAGAATATGCCATAAACATCTCTTCTACAAAGAGATTAAGAACAGAAGTGCAGGAGGAAAGCCAATGGGTATGTTTTGTAACAAACACTACAAGTGGAAATATGTATTTTTTCTAAAGCAGCCTTCAAAAGCAGGAAAAAAGTGGTTTCAACAGTTATTCTTAGGTCACTCTTTTCAGGACTCCTTTCCAAACCATTAATTTTCATCTCTAATCACAACCGGGTGTGCTCATTTGGTATTACTGCAACCTACATGTCTTTGCAATTTGAAACATACAGAATTTAGAGTATACAGGGACAGTCTCTAATCTTTGTGTACCTTTTTAAACAAACACTCTCAAGAGACCTCTTGGTATGCTACATCATAGGCTGAAAAGCTTTATTCAGTCTTTTCTACCCAAGGAAAACCACTGATTATCTACTCTTATATTTTTACAACATGATCTGAACTTCCCTCTTGAAAGCTGAAGTTTTGTTTACCCAAAAGAAGAATCACATTGGAATACCACTGATCCATCACGTATTTCTCAGTTATGCAAAAGTTCCTGCTCTCTAATCAGGTTACTATCGCCCCAGTATCTGTAACCTCTAACACCCAAAGTTACTTGGCACCTCATATGACAGCAGCTGGATAACTGTAACTGTACTGTATTGGCATCTGTTTATTAGATTAGATCCTTACAGGAATCTTATCTTGCTTACTATATATCAGCCACGATTTAAAAAACACTAACACACACTGCTCCACTCTCTCCATGTAACCAATTAAATGCTTTTTCCCTTCTCTGTCTGAACTAAATGGAGCTCAACAGGCAAAAATATTCTGAAATAAACTGTTCATTTGCTTTAGTTTATATGGAGGCAGTGTTTTGGCATAACAGGACCTACAGGCTACTGACTAATCTTAAGAGACTTGTTAATCTTTGTAATACACTGACCTAGCAGAGAGGTGCACAAGGCATCCCTGACAAGTCTTTAAAGGGGACACGAACCAAACTGCCTGCAGCACCAAGCACACAATGCAGCAGCCTTCTCTTACACAAAAGGGGAGGACAAACATTCAGGAATGGGCTTAGCCCAAACACATACTGCTAAACACTTCTTGTGGTACCTGGTTCATTTTACTATTGAAGCAGCAAGAAAAATCATAGCTGTTTCACCAAAGTTTGATAAATTCTTGGGCCTCCCTACAGGGTAGGATAGTACAACCAGAGGAAACACTGCCAGGTGTTTTACTCTCTTCGCTTGTTCAAAGTGCAGTGAAGCACCTAAAGCTTTAACACCAGGGTAACAGAGTAAGGGAAATCTAAATTACATTTTTTTTTAAAGCTCATTAAAAACCCCAACATCCTGCATAGGTGCAGTAGTCTGACAACCAGTGAATCTATGAAAGTTCACTGCTGTTGTAAGGGAGGATCGAAGGTGAAAAGAGCCCTCATCCTGTTCAGGGCACTGAAGCTAGTACTTTAGCTCAGTTGCTTGTGGAAATGCAGCCTGACTTGCTCCAAAGCATTTATGAGAGCACTCAATCAAATCACATCACTCCTCTCTAAGTAAACATAAAAAGCACTAGCACCTACTTCAGAAAGCAGGTAAAAACTGGTTACTTAACAGGAGGGACCGATCACCAAGCTTGACTTAAAACAAATCTTCAGAACAATTGCTGGGAGGGTTACCAAACGGTAACTGAAAAAAAGTTAATGGGAAAAAAGAAACAGGAAAGCAGCAAACCTCCCCCAGAAAGAGGGTGAACTATACAACATAATGGAGTTACGTAACGTACAGGTAAAGATACCTGAGGAACGTTTCAAGCATTTATGCCTTTTACTCCCATGGATTTTGGAAAATTTCCCCAGGCTGCAGACTGCACACATGTATTTGCATCCCTGCCCCCATCTTTATCTCACTGCCTTGTCACACACAAGTTTATATATAACAAAGAATTCATATTTTCTTTACTACCCCCCAGTACAACTCACTCATACTCTTTAAAATCTTGCAAACAGCCCAAAGTAAGTGCAAGACTTCTCAGAATGATCTAAACAAAGCTCAGTGATGCAGCCAGGAGGAAGGAAGCCCAAGTACCTGCACATTTATGTTCACATTAGGATGCTCCGGTAGCACAGGGCTGCTGCATTCTGTCTCCAGCTGTTTCAGCTTTAGGAATGTGTCTTCAAATGCTGAAAAAGACAAAAAAGATATCAACTTCTTAATGTCATGATGGAGTTACATGACTTGTAACTTGCATTAGTCCTGAACACTAACTCAATGGCTTTAAAGCTTTAGGGGAAAGCACAGGGATAGGGAAAGCTACTTACTCAGCTTTGAATACAACTTCTAAGCCTACAGACTGTATGTACCTAATCACAACACTCTGCACCCCTCACGTTCATTAACCCAACCATCCTCACAAAGAATGAGCAAGCAGCACGAGCTAATCGCTCAGATGGCCGCACTTCACTGTATCTGTGGCTGAAATCAAATCCCATGAAGAACTGTGACTTTTCCTTGTACCTCTGCCTGTGGAAATGAGTTGCTTCCAGTTGAAACAGGGCGAGCTGACTGACTTTGTTGCCCTAGTTGTGGGTAAAACTGTCCTATGCATTATAATCTCAGGGAGTTTCCTAAAACACTTCTGAATTTTGGTCAGGAAGCGACCTCATAACAACCTAATCATTTAACTTTAACTCCACACATCATGATAATAGGAAAAAAAAAAATCAGTAAGTTTGCTTACAATCAGAGTCTGCTTTTTCAGTAGCAGTTTCCTTTGTGCCAGGATGGGGGCAACTAACAGCCTCTTCTGAATCTCCTGTTGCCAAGCCAACAACTGGATGACCTATTGCATCATCAACACAAGTTTCTGGCAACTCTGTGCTGTCTAGCAAATCAACAAAAGGTATGCTGCAAAGGTAGAAAGACGAGCAGAGATATGCAGAATCATGTTACCACTCTTCTGTAACAAAAAAAACCTTGAACACATGCAATTTTTTTTTTGGTAATCAGACACATTCTGTAAAAACTGTTTCAGATAACTAATAGACACTGGCTTTCAGTGAGTTTAAAAAAAAGGGGGGGGGGCAACATATCATGTCTGTAGCAGTAACTTCATGACAGAACGGGTCCATGTTGCCTGCTTTTTCATCACATAGGAGGAGAAGGAAAGTTTTTATCCATTAAATACACTTTTTGGAATAAACATCTGAAGTTTTTCTAACAAACTCAAAATATGCTTTAGAAATGCTTCTCAAGAAAAAGGGGGAAGAAAGTTGAAACTGTTCACAAAAAGCTATTTGTACACCCAGCATTCTTAAGTAGAACAGAGGGCAGAAGGGGGCACTGCATAGGTTTGCACCGACACTATGCTAATGGTTAGGCACACCTTTAACTAGTTTCAGTTTTATTAACTTGAGCAGAGACATGAAGGAAATCTTAGCTATGACAGTATTTTATGTGAACCATAGCATGTACTCTGTACCCTGTCAGGATCACTTCTTTCACCTCCTTTGCTTTCTAATGGCAACATCTCCTTTTTACTTTGTCCTACCATCTGTATTTACAAAAGAGAAAAACAATTACAACAAAAGTTACATTGTGATGCTTATGTTGCACATGCAGTCAGTAATCTCATCCATCTCTTTGAAGTTCAGGAACAGTTAAACTGTTAAACTATCCTAACAGCACACTGTTAAAGCTATCCTAACAGCAAATTGTAACAAATATGGAAAAAACAACTGCTGCAAACATGATGTCTGATCAGACAACTGGTGCACACAACTGCAGTTTGACTGTCCCCCATTTCAATCAACAATCACACTTACTTACATATAGTTTGGTTGCAATATTTAGTTTAAGAAGAAAAATCTATCCCTTTTGAAAGTCCTGTCCTAGATACGAGAACAATGATATCATGCAAGCACTTGCCACAACAGAACTTACCCCTTATGCATAGACAGAAACACTTCTATTTGACAGTTCAGACCAACCTGCCCCTTATCGCTACTGGGTTTAATGCCCCATGCCTCCCTCCAGCCCTGGAACCTCTGTTTCACTAGAGGCTCCTTGAAAAAACTCCTCCCTCCAACTCAAGCACTCAAAAGAATCCTTCCAATGTTAAAAACATACCTCTGAAACAGATTATAGGATACCACCATTTTAGTGCTAATAATGTACGAATCATCTTAAGACAATGTCGTGGCTTAAGCCCAGCCAGCAACCCAGAACCACACAGCCTCTAGCTCACTACCCCCCCTTCCTGCCACCGCTCCGGAGGGACGGGGAGGAGAATCAAAAGAACGGAACTCCCACAGATTGAGATAAGAGCAGTCCAGTAACTAAGGTATAACACAAATCACCACTGCTACCACCAATAATAATAATGATAAGGGAAATAACAAGGGAAGAGAATACAACTGCTCACCATCTACCGACTGATACCCAGCCCAACCCAAGCAGTGACCTAGCCCTTCCGGGTAACTGCCCCCGTTTATATACTGGGCATAGCGTGGTGTGGTATGGAATACCTCTTTGGTCAGTTTGGGTAAGGTGTCCTGTCTCTGCTTCCTCCCGGCTTCCCCTCCTCCCTGGCAGAGCATGAGACTCAGAAAGTCCTTGGTCAGACTAAACATTACCGAGCAACAACTAAAAACACTGGTGTTATCAGCGTTATTCTCAGGCTGAGAGTCAAAAACACAGCACTGCACCAGCTCCTAAGAAGGAGAAAAATGACTGCTACTGCTGAATCCAGGACACAATTAATTGCTGTGAGGCAAACTGAGGTCACCTGCTTGATTCTCTTAAAGCAGAGGAATAAGCTACTAGCAAAGTAAATAGGAAACTTTCCCACCTACTGTACAGCCTCTCTGTGCAGCACTAATTGGAAAAGGCAAGCAGCAGATAGTCTTGCAAAGAAGGTATGATGGATACAGAGAACTTCAATTATTAGAAGAAACAGGAAGGAATAGATGCTCTCTCACTTAAGGAAACAGAGACTGAATCCCATATCTTACTATCGGAGGATGCCTATGCATGAGAGCTGGTGTGTTTTATGATCTTCACATGAAGCCATCACTTTTCTTCCTGTCTTCTGATATTTTTTTGCAAATAGCCTCCCAAATGTTTACTATGACAACCAGTATAGGAAATCCAAAGTTTGCCTGCAGCACAGAAAGGTGCTAATGCCATGACATGTTGAAGGAAACAGGTATAAGCTCCTATGAACTTCATGTAAGAGGTGACGTACAGCACTAGTAACACTTCTTCATGCTGTAATCTTCTAATGCTTTTCTTCTCAATGCAGCAGAGTGGAGAGAAAATGAGTGAAAAATAATATTTATCTTAATTAGAAAATTGGTAGGATAATTACACTAGCATTTTGCACCATTTTAGGCAGACTCAAAAGAAGCCTCCAAAGGCAGCATTCAAGTACAAAGTGATCTCATTTTGCCTTCAGACCCACTGAAAGACCTACTCGGCCACCCCGAGATAGGTAGTCACAAGAAGAAAGTCATACTATGGAGACCCTCAACCACTGGAATTTGCAGGCACAGAAGACAAGCTCCCCAGAGAGTATTAAATTGTTTGAGGCCACCCAGATTCTTCACACTATTTTCAACACTGCAGAGAATTAGATTTCTCTTACAAATCACTGATGACCTGTCATACCAAATGTAAAGGTAATAAAAGGCTTCCCAGGAAAAGTGGGATTTCTACAGCAGTCAGTGTGCAGTACTCAAGAATGAAATGGACATTAGCTTTCCACGTTCCTGTATTGTTGTGGTTTAAACCCTAGCCAGACAGCTTGTTCACTCACTCCCAGTGAGTGGTGCCAGGCTGAGAGCAATCAAGGCGCCCCCCCCAGGCTCTCCCTTCCCCACACCTGGAGGGATGGTAAGAAGGATCGAAAGAGTGCAACTCCCACAGGTTGAGACAAGAACAGTCCAGCAACCAATGTACAACACAAATCACCACTGCTACTACCAACAACAACGATAAGAGAAAATAACAAGGGAAGGGAATACAATACCACCAGCCAAGAAACGAGCCTGACCCAGAAGCCTGTGTCCTTCCGGGTAACTCCCAGTTACCCCCCACCCTGGGCATGACGTGCTGTGGTATGGAATACCTCTTTGGCTAGCCTGAGGCAGGTGTCCTGTATCTGATTCCTTCCAGCTTCCCCTCCTCCCTGGCAGAGCATGAGACTCACAAAGTCCTTGGTCAGGGTAAACATCACTTAGTGACAACCGAAAACATCGGTATCACCAGCCCTGTTCCCAGGCTGGAAGTCAAAACACAGCACTGCACCAGCTACCAAGAAGGAGAAAAATGACTGCTACTGCTGAACCCAGGACATGTATCTACCCACTTAAAAGGGGATAACTTTGCATAGTAGTAAGTGCCAGGCTTTATGTCTTCATAAACAATTGCTATCAGCATATTTTAAGAAATATTCTGAGGGTAAAGCTGATATAAGATACCAGGAGTGCAAGCCACACAAATAATTACGAATAGCCAAAGAGCACGGAAAGGTTTGTCAACCCACTACTAAATCACACAGAAGTTGTGACATGGAACTCTCACAGGGAGTTAGCTACTGCATGATTTCTTCTTTTTGCCTGACAAATACATTGCTATTAGATTGTACCATACAGCATACAATGCATAAGGTAACTGAGAAAGCTGACAGCTACAAAGAGGGTATTTCTTTTTTCTAATTTCCTAGTTGAAAAGCAAAACTATACTTCCTTCCAGTCTGTGGAATACAATCTACAAAATACAGTAACTATGTGAGTCTGCTGCAAAAGAACTAATTCTTTTGCAAGTAATCTAATTTGAAACAGTGCGGCGCACCACACAAGCTAATTTATTTCTTCTGTTAGTGACACAAAATAGTTTCTTATGCTGACACTGCAAGGTAGCACACTAGTAGGAAATTCTTTCTTCATTTCCTTCATTTTGAGTCATTCAGTGCTGTACCTGAAGTAAGAAGAGCAGTAAAATTAAGCCTGTCACCTTTTCAGATTTTTTTCCTCTGAACAGAAATGCAAAATACTCAGAAATATGAACTTCCTTTTCCTTTTAAAGTGAAGAAAGCAAAGAAAAAAATCCTGGTTATGTAGGATCCTACAAATGGAGACTCTTCAAACTCATTCAGTTTTGAACTAAACAGGCTGAGTCTGGTTCTAAGTTCCAAGACTTCTGCTGTCTCCCATTTGTTTGAAGATAATTCCAAATGCCAACATAGCATAACACACATAAGCCAACAACTACAGGAAAGGAAACACCCTTAGGAAAAGGTGCTGGCTGCCTAACCTTTGTGGGATCTGTCACCACCACACTGTTTAGAAAGACATCCACCTGTTTCCTCAATGCTATTTCTAGAGCACACGACCTGTCCCTGTAAAAATGCAGCTAGCTGGTTTTGGTACTAATGTGGTACAATTTCCCCACCTGCTATTAAGAGCTGTCACCTACCATGGTGGGAACCAGGACAGCAATTTTCTCTAAGTCAATGAAATCACACTAAAATAAACTCAGCTTAGAGCAAAATCAATCTTCAGGACGTATGCAAAAATCAAAGCCACATGGCAAAAGCTTGCAACATACACCATACTAAAACAAATCAATCCTAAAGGCAGATGGATTGCAGGCAATCAGAGTTGCTGCCCCTACCCTGAATCTGGGCTAGTTCTCCAGTCATGCAAAAAACCTACTACAAAAACTTTATGCAGAGCTTTACTTAGCAAACTTGCAGTTCATGCCAAGGCAGTCCCTGACAGCCAGCACACAGGAGGCAGCTGGGACACCCAGCCCTCCACTCAGCACTGGTAAGACACCCTTGGAGTGCTGTGCCCAGCTCTGGTCTCCCCAGGACAAAAGAGATGTGGACCTCCTGAAGGAAGAGC